AATAAAGAGGAAAGTTCAACCTTGCAATTCCAGGAGGAATTGGAGGCGTTTATATACATATTTTAGATATATAATTTGGTACAGGATAAGTATATGTTATGGTAGAAATGTAAACTAAGATATAGATACTATCTTTGTCAGAATAGTCAACTGTGTCATCTGTTACATAGATGAATACTTTGGCGAAGATAATACAAAAGATAAAGATGAAATAAAATAGGAATATTCTAGAAATGGTAAATGTGCAATATGTGCCATATGTGCCGAAAGTACAGTAACAGATCTGTAATACAAGATTATTCTAGAATGGACAATATCACAAGGGTAAATGCTACTAAAATTGAACAAGGGTAGTGAAGATCATTAAGCGAAAATCAAGTATAACAATATGTTCCTATTTCTTGGAAGATATTTGTTTCTATCAAAGCTATGATGTCACTGTTTGATTTAGTGATCCAGTCCATCCAGAGGAGAGTTTTCTTTGTGTTTGATTTGAGTTCTCTGGTGTTTACTGTAGAGATGTGCCATGTTTTGATTGATTCTAGTGGTAGATTGTCTTTTGGTGTTGTTCATAATTGTGGCAGATCGTTTTGTTATTCTGGGTTGTTTTTTCTGTTGTTTGATATAGGTGTGGTTGTTTTCCTGTTTATTGTGTTTGTTTCTGTATTTTCTGATGTATTTGTATCTTTATTACTGTAATCAGATTCTGAATCAGACCATGTGAGAATTGTTTTTAGTTGCTGTGTAAGGCTGGAGGTGTTGTTATTATTGGTGTTGGCTTGTTGACTGTTTTGCAGATTGGTTTCTTATTTTTCATTGACATTGTTATTTGTGCTATTTGTGTTTCCCATTTTTATTGTTTTGGGGTATGGATTTGTGTTAGGACTAGACTAGTGAGTCCATGGTGAAGAAAATTTGATTCATTTTGTTTTGCATTCCGTCGATGGAAGAGAAGAGTTGAATTTGGGTGGTTCTAAGGTTATTGATATTGTTTTTGATATTTGTTGGGTGTTTCAAATTGGTAAGAAGGTATTGATGTTTCTTGGATATCTGATATTTGTTCACTATCCATTGTTTCATAAAATTCTTCATTGAAGTATTCTAGGTTAGTGATTTGCTCATCAAGTTCTGTGATTTGGAATCTGATTACATTTAGTTCTTGTTGAATTTCTTTAAGGATATTGGTAATATTAGTGAGCATTGGTGAGACTCTTGATTCTTTTGTGGTTGTTTGTGTGACTGCTCCAGCATATGTTCCTGCTCTGATGGTTTTAGTTGTTCTGGTGTTGTTAATTTTGCATATGTTGTCTGTTTTCTTGAATCTAAATTTGTTATATAATGTTTTAAATTTGGATGCTTGAGTTTTGTTGTAATTGTTCTATTGTTGACATCTTTTTTTGGTTGGGTAGTCTTTGGCTAGATGAGTGGCTGCATCACAGATTGCACATAACTTGGATATGACTGATACAAAGGTTAGTATGGTTTCTCCTAGTGTGTATTGTGACTATACGGCTTGTAAGAGATCTTCTTGTATTTTAAAACTAATTACTGCAAATTTTTTGGGTTTGTACCATCTATTTGCTGATCTTGAAATGTCACATGTGCATCCTTTGCTTTGTATTAGAATGTTTTGAAGGTTTCAGGCTGTTGTGTTAGGAGGCAAGTTTGTAAGTTTTGCTATGATTTCATGTCTTTATTTCATTTGGGCTAGTGTCCATTCTGTGTTGTTAATTCTGACAGAGTTTTCTTTAATTAGAATGCTTCTGCTTTCCATAAGTTTTATTTTGGACTCTTTGTTTTCAAATATGATTGTAGTGCATTGCCACAGGTTTTGGGTTCTTATAGTGATTCCCTATATTTGACCATATCTGAAGAATACCTGTTTAACTTTAATGAGTTTTGTATTCAAGGAATGTCCCATACTACAATAGAGTTTTTCTTATTTATTTCTTGGCATCCTGTTTCTATGTGTTTCAGCTTTTTGTTATCTATATTAGGGAGGACAATGGTTGTTACATGATTGGCCGCTTGTTGATCTCTGAAAATAGCAATGATTTTCATTTCTTCATTTTTCCCCTCAGTGCGAACTGTAAGGAGGCCTTCTGAGGAGTTGAGGGTTAGAAGAATATGTTCTAGTTTTTGGTATGCCATTTTTCCTTTAATCATGTTTGCTAGGATACCTACTTTGTATCTTTCTCTGCCATATCTTTGGATTCTGTCGAAAGGTAAGATTGGATAGGATTTGCTTGTGTCTTTCGTTGGTTCTTTACCTTTTCCTTTTTCTTGTACAGATATCCATCTGTTTTCAGGAGTGTCATTTGAGGTGGTTTCTATTTCTTCGTCTATATCGTCAATCCTTGGAATCCAACTTCCATCTTTACTGATTGAGGTTTCTTGACTGTGTGTATTGCTGTTGGAGAAACTTGCCTCGCTATATTGTGTTTCTACCAGTTCACTCTATAATAGGGTTGTTGAGAGAGTTTTTTGACTATTTTGTTTGTTCTGGTCTGTTTCCTTGTTTGTTTATTGGTCTGTTTCCTTGTTTGTTTGTTGTTTTGTTTCTTTGTCGGACTGGGAGGTTTGTTGCTGCTGGAAAGATTTGTTGGGGAGTATTGTGATTGGGATTGTGTTATTTTTTGCTGAGGTGGGGGTGGGCTTCTTTGCATATGGCTGTATTCTAGTAGGAATTGTATCTTTTTCTACTCTTCTTTCATATCTTAAAGTCCGTTCAGTTCTGTTGTTAGTACTTGTCGAAGTTCCTTTACTTCTGTTTGTGTTAGACATCTTTCTTGCAAACGTTCTGTTAGTATTTTTCTAAAAAGGAAATTGAGTACATTTGGGAAGAGTATTATTGTTGTTTTTGTTTATTTTATTTTTCATTGTTAATTCTTATGTAATTATTGGATTTATTATATAAAAGAATCATGTTGTTAAGAAAAAAAAAACAATTAATAAAAAATTAATCAATTTTTAACCATAATCAAATCTGTCTTATCTATAATAATAAATACTTACTATTGTTATACAAATCTTAGCTTTTATTAGCAGTAGACTTGCTTATAATAGTAACAATATTAAATAATATAAATGTGTTTTGAATTTAAATAAAGAAATATATATAATTTAGCAATAATTTGATATATCAAATAATCAAATTTTGACTAATGTATAATATATTTTTTTTTTTTTACACCTAATCAGACTGTATACTGAAGTTTATTAATCCAAATATATACGGATTGACCCGAGGTACAAATGGGAAGATACATAAAGTGCCTAACAAATCTATACTAACGGTTAAACTTAATGCTCTATACAGCACACCCGTCAACGGCCACTGGCCTCTAGATGTGATTAAGGGGAATGAAAAAAGTTGCTCTATCTTAACCCATGTTCCTTGTGAATCTCAATATCATTGCCAGCCCTTCATCAAGACTGTTTACCCCAACTTAACCTCTGTAGTCCTAAGGTATAAAATTTTTATTTTTTGAGAAGGTAAAAGGGAAGGGTAAAGGGGAAAGAGAAAAGTTTGCACCGGTAAAATAAAAACCCAACAAAACCAATCACCAGCCTAATGAGAGCCTTCTTTGACCTTGAGGAGAAAAGAAACCAGCACAAGAGGGGAGGGGGAAGACTTCCAAATACTTCTTATCAAGAGGACACCTTGACACCTTGCTCTTTCACTTTATCCAATTACATCATCAGTTCTAATATGGTACGACGCAGGCACGTGTGGATACGTGTCTTGTTTACATTTCTTTTACGTGTCGATCAACCAATCCAAGATTTCAGCCAATCACCAACCAGAGAATCC